GGTAACTTCTGATAGAGAGAGAACCGTATTTACTCTCTTTTTTGTCCTCGCAATAGTCGNTTTCGACGAACAAACCTATTCTCGGACTAAAACTGGTAACTTCTGATAGAGAGAGAACCGTATTTACTCTCTTTTTTGTCCTCGCAATAGTCGGAGAACCGAGTACGCGATCGATTTCCAGTAAAATCTGACTGATTCTGACTATTTCTGACTAGTCCGGACTCGTACGGGATCGCAACTTTTATGTATAACGACAATTACCTAAAACTTTTGTGTATAGCGATACTAATTTTACAGCAGTTTGGCCCAACAAAATTAGTTAGCCATTGCCCGATTCCCCGCAACGAGTCGAATTCCCCGCAAATCCCTTAATAGGATAAAGAGTCTGCAAGTTGGCATCGTTGCTGCCGTCATGCGCCAAACAACTGTCAAAAATCCTCATGCCCGTACAATTTGTATGGAGCATCCCACAATAACGCCCAAGTTTGTACAACACGCCCACTTTTCCACACTTATTTATATATACCCTATTATAGGCACCTACCATAGAAATGGCCGCATACCAAATTTCAAGTTCATGTGACTTATGGTTCCGAAGTTATGGCTGTTTAAAAATTTCACGCCTATGGGAGGTGCCACGCCCCCTCGTCGGATCACAATTTTTTCACCCATTGTCAGTAGTTCTTTTCGCTATACAAAAGCCAGTAAGTGAACTGCTAAGTGCAAGTTAACAGTGGAAACTCCGCACTTAGGTATTATAACCCTCACTAAGTAGAATTCTCCTTTCTGTGTTACCGAAGAAGGGGGCTAATATTTGCGCAGAACTTCTTTCACTATAATTCGCCTACCACACTGTCTGTGTCCCTGTGTCAGAGAGAAAGTCTCATTATCTTCTAGAAGCGCGAAATGACGAGTCATTTGAGTGTTTATGCCGCTAATTGCTGTTGTTTTGTGCGGTGCACTTTGTTGATGCTTCGTTGATGATGCTTGGTGAAGTTGTACGTGAAATGCGGGAGTAGTAAGGCCTCAAGTGTCTTCGCCACCGGGGAAAGGAGCGTTATCTGTCGGTAGGACTGTCCTTTATTTGCTGGTTTCCCTGGTTTAGGAGTGGGACCCCTCTACCTGGTATCCAAACATCGGGAATGATGAGAGTGGCCATTGACAAATTGGTAAACTTGGTGAGATAAACTACTCCCGCCGGACCCTAATGTTTCCGCATAAACTTTGCGGAACGCTTTCCCCGATGGCCACCTGGTTTTGGGCAGTTTGTGCAGCCTTCTGATCGCTCGACGATTGGCTTTATTTGCCGAAAGCCGCAATGTGGCGTAACCATAGTATAAGATTTCCACTCTGTCGGCATGTATCGTCCGATTAGACAGGGAACTCACGGTTGCCCAGACCTTACTCACACCAGAGGCGAAGTTGTAGGTCTTCCAATGCTTATACCACTTTTACCGCTATGAGGGTTTACCAGTTGTCGAATCTCTAAATTAAGGTCCCTTCGATAAGACGATACTTTGCCGTGTGGTACAGGATGAGCGCTGTCTCGCTCGCGCTCTTTACGGAGCGCATTGTAGGCGACGCAACTCAACAATGTTGAGTGGCTGTGCAACTTCGTTTCATGGATGGCAGCTATAAATATGATTTGCCATGGCCGTGTAGGAGGATGATGCCAAATGACTTTAGCTACAGGGGGCCACAAAGTTTATGGTATCCATCTTGCCGACTCGCTTCCCGGAAGCTCTTGGGATGTGGAACATTACTCGTGACATACAAGACGATTGGCCAGTGGGAAACTAACTGCTCCAGTAGCACAGCAATACGCTGTGGAGACACCTTATAACTTCGCAGCAAGCAGATCAATTACGACTCCAGGCTGCCACCTCGAAGCGTCACCTTCACGAAAAAACACAAATGCCTGAGAAAGAGCAATCGATGCGAGACTAGTCAAAAAGTCCGAACCCAAGTGCCTAAGCCGTAGTGACAGTCGTGAACGTACTGCTCGTCTCGTATTCGAGCCCTGCTTGCGTGAATGCCGATAGTACAGTGGCCAATCAGTAGACCTAGATCGTCCCGGTCCATCCTCGACAAGAAGGATCTTGCAGTAGCGCAAGCTCCGATTTTTCCCCAGCGTTCGCTGAGTTGACCCGAGTCTCATCTTTCCAAAAAAAGTACACAAGTAGTCAATGGAGCCCGCACCTCTATCTTTTCTTTTCGATATTCCCTCAGGGGTGGCGTCTCTGGTCAGTTCGTCCGCAGCACATTTCCCTGCGATATCACTGTGGCCTAGCACCCATACAAGTCTAACACGATAATAGTTCCACGCAATCGAATGCAAGTTAAGGCATTATCCAACAAGCTTTGAGCGTACCGTAAGTGAGTCCTAGACTTTGGTTGCCGCCTGATTGTCTAGAGTAAATGTAACCTTCCTTCGATCCAGCGCGCCCAACAGCAACCAATCGGCTGCTTCCTTAATAGCAGCAACCTCCGCCATAAATCCACTAAAGTGGTCTGAAATGAATTGAATAGTGATGGTGAGTTTCACGGCGCGACCATCGACCCTTTCGTCAAGCTTCGATTTGGCCGTGTAAACCAGATCCCCTATCAACTCATCCCTAGAGAGGTGTGAGTGGCAAAAGGGATAATTCGTGCCAGCCTAGTCACGTAGTGATCCGTGTTATCAGAATAAAGAAAAGTTCCCTTACTATAGACCTTGAGTCCTTTAAACATCCGGTGCCCCTAAGTCTGACTGCAGCTCTAGCTGCAGCAATCTCACTTACGATGTCGAAAGATGCTATGTTAAGCATGATCAGAGCCAGGGTGATTCCAAAGAGGACAGGTCAGTTGTACCCATTTCAGGTTAATTGACAGCTCTCTAGAAAAGACTTCTCTATTTCCTGAGCCTAAAGTATTTTTGCGACGCAATTCGAATTTTTTTTGCCGAACGAAGGTATTGCCTTTTTACATTTTACGCCATTATGTCTTCGGCATTTACTGTCGGATTTTAAGATGTTGTACATCGATATTTAGAGAATACACTTTTTTGTAACAAAAGTTCTTTAACTTCAAGTACCCTGTTCTAGTACTAACTTACCGGACTTCAGTTCTTGCCACCATATTTTCAGTATTTCAACGTTCACCAAAAATCATTAATTGCTTTGCTGGATTTATTCGTAGATCGTGTGAGTTTAAGGGCTTAAAAGGGACACAAAACCAGTAGAGCTGACGGAACTTATCATTCACGTCGTGTGGAAATCGGGGAAAGTGGTTCCACTGCTAAAACCAGGAAAACCTGCCATGAAGAGTACACCACCACTGCAGTAATTAACGCAGTAAACACTCAGATAACCCGTGGCTTTAACCGAAACCGACACTGTAAGAGAACAACCCTAGCAGCGATGAATTTGTCAAAAGAGTTTGACACCGTATGCCACTCCAAGCTACTCGAATATATTAAGGCTTTCTATCTTCCTTAGAGCAATCGGCAACAGTGCGTTCGATAATGGCGTGCGGCAATAGAATTTATGGCCTATGTTCAAAGCTAAACGGTTACCTCTCCGAATGTTCTCGCTTCGTCACTGCAAGGAGATTAAATCTCTGCCCTACGAAATCCGCAGGAAAACTTTTCATCGCCTGGACGAAACACGTCAGGCTACAGCTTAGTATTCGCGTCGATGGCGAGCAAATTCCGACGGTGAGCAACTTAAAAACTCTTGGAAACCTCTTCGACAACATGCTCTCTTTATCCACATAACCGCAATTGTTAATAAAGAACAGAGCCCCAACAAAGTCTTCAAATCTATCTATCGGGTAGCCTTTGGGGCTAAGACCAAGAAATGTTGTTGGCACCATACAAAGCGATTTTCCAGCCGGTTCCAAACTATGCGACGGCCGTGTGATAGCCGGGGACTAGCAGGACGCAATGG